ATGAGACACCAAAGAAAAGGTACTCATGAAAGCATCTGTGTGCACAAATATGTGCATGAATATGTGTGCAGAGGGGGAAGGGAAACCCCCTGCCACTCAGCTGCCTCCCTTGATTTGCTCAGATTTCATTTCCATTTGCTACAGGGACATCTGCACATTTTTCTGTCCAGCCACATTTAGCGCACATCAGTTCAGCCAGAACTCTCTGCTGAGGTCAGCTATCCCCCAACCCTGGCATCCCGGGGGGTGGGGGGTTACAGCTAAGGACACACAATAATCTAAATGGAATATTGAAGATCCCCATCTGTCTGGCAGTCCTGATCAATAAATGTGAGCCCTTCTGCTCCACTTCTGTACGAGAGACACGTCACCACCTGGATTTAAGACAAGCATGAGATGGGGGTTTCTAAGGTTAGTGAGTCCAAACCCCCAGCTGTCACAGCATTGAGCCAGGAGAGGGATTATGTTCTTAATAATGTTATTTTGTTACTAAAAGGTTCCTATAAATTCCCCTCACCCCTTTCCTTCAAGCAAAATATACCAGTGTCTGAAATTGGAGGTGTCTTTCTGACACTCTTGCTTGCTGATTTCTTTTTGAAAGAGCTTTTGTTCAAGCAGTAAAACCCAGGCACTGTGCTTCTGGGCCATTTCGTCTGGCTTCTGCCAAATTGCAAGGCTGAACAAAAAGACCAGTTTGTGTCTATCTGACATATCACTTGAGGAAAGCAGGCAGGTCCAGTATGTCAGCTCTGGACCTGTGAAATACCTACCCCGAGTCTGTATAGGAACCATTCCCTAGGGACAGCAGTCTGAAGACTCACTGCAGAAATCTCCAACCCCTTTAATAAGCATGCAAGCAAACAGACACAATTAAAACTCTGGATTGTCTAAGGCATTTTTTCTCTGAGCAGGGCCATCCCTGGGGCTCCAGCTAAAATACTGACTACACCTGTTCAGCCTCTATCACCTCTTCACCAGCCCAGAACAAAGCTGACTGCAGCAAAAGCACCAGACAAGGATCAAGTTGCACTGTGGAGATTATGCCACCCCCTGTGAGCTGAGAGTCTGCCCACCCTCTTGCCTGGGCCTGGATGAAGGACTCTGGTGAGCTGGGCTGGTGAAGGGGAGGTGTGTGGAGGCTTCTTCTGAGAAGAATGGTGGAGAGAGAGATGCTGCCTGGTCTGGAGTGTCACTTTTCCAGCTGGTGCAGCAGTAGGTAACAACCTGAGTGGACAAGGTAAGAAGTGATGAATCTGCCTTCACTTCAGCTGCTTTCCACCAGGTTCGAGATCACAAGCAGATCCTCTACTCAGTAGTACCCAGCTTCCCCTATTTTTAAAAACAAAACATCCCATTAGACTAGTTTTGGCCATCCTGAGTTCTATAAGACATTTGTGTAAATCTAGGCAAGGCCAACCTGCCAATCACACATGAAGAAGGAAGGTCTTCTGTCTACAGAGGAAGGGACAGTCACAGAGCTGTTCACTGTCTTTCCTACACAATCTGAAATTAGATGTGGGCTTTCCACTTGTATTGCTCCTCCCAACCTGGCTGTCAGATGGCATACTGGCCAGCCAGCCTGCAGTCTCTCCCTGGACCAAGCCAGTTCCCACATGACCACCAGGTAGCTCACTAAAGCTCTAACACACGCTTGCTGCTTCACCTGCTCCAAGCATACAGTGCTCTGTGTCCCCACAGCCAAAGTCTTCAGCATGGGAACCAAGGCCCTCCTGATCTGTCCCCAGCACCCTCCCCAGCCTTGCCCCACCAGGCTCTCTCACAGTCCCTGCTCAAGGGCTGCTCAATCTTTTATTTCCCAGGCAGCACACTTGGTGCCTTTGTGCAGCTTTCTCCTCATCCTGAGCTCGGTGTCCAGAGAACTTATTCTGTGAGAACCAGGTCAGAAGTTGCCACGTGACCCCACCTCTGGGGAGCCTCTTCAGCACCCTGTGCTTACATCTGAGCGTGGTGCTTATGAGGAACATGTCAATCTGTCTTTGCAAATGAGGAGGCAAGAACTACATCCAGTGAACTCCATGCCAACAGTGCCTGGCATTAAGCATGTAACTCAAGCAACACAACTGGAAATGACGTAGAAAAAGATGTCGCACCAGGCTGAGACATCACTCCAGGTGTGAACCAAGGCCCCAAACTGCAGCTTTCCACACTTGGGCTGACCCGAAACATTTTTAAAAATTACTTTAGAAGGTCAAATAGCTGAGGACTTACTTAAATAACTGTTTTTCAAAATACCCCAGAGAGGAAAACCTGATCTAGGCCTTTCATGTTATTCTGCAAAATGAACACCAAGCATGGCATCCCAATATACCTCCAATGGAGTCTTTTGAGTTAGGAGGGAAATGCTAACAAGGAGTAAAATCCAGCACCCTCCACCTTATTAATATGCAAAAAGGCTGAAGTCACATCTGTGCAAGGATCTATTTTTAGTGGACCCTACATACTAAAATCTGAGCCTTGATCTCTTAAACTACCAAGGCTACCATAAATGTTTGATGATGAACAAGCCCATAAAAAGAAAATGCATAGAATGAATAGAAGGAGGCAATGCATGCTCTGCCTTTTAATTACCGGTGGCTTCTGCTGAAATCCTGCTCCAGGCTTGGAGCAGAGAAAACACATCAATAATTTGGGTGAGGGAGCAAGGTGTGGATATTTTTACAAACAAATTTATCAAACTATATTTTTATTTACCTAATGGAAATCAAATAAAGGCAAGAGGAGAGTCTCACCCGAAAAAATCAGGGGGTGGGGAGATTGACTAAAGTAGAAAAAAAAAGAGATAAATAAAAGGCAATCAGGACACAAAAGATAATGTAGAACAGTCTGGTTTTATTACTTTTAAGTAATAAAGATCCTTTTCCTTGCTTTTTTTCTTTTACCCTTTTTCTTTTTTTTTCTTTTTTACAACATACATTAAGTTGTGAATCAGATGTTAGGAGATGTGGAGATGGGTGGAAAATTGGTGACATCACAATATTTTTACAACTTTACAACAAATATAAATCTGAGTCTGTTGCATCTACAGTGTCTAGCGAGGGAGGAAAGCAAAGGCACACTCAGGTTTATGGACCCTCCCCCCACACATGGGGAAAAGAAAGGGATAAAACACTTCGATGCAGAAGACCAGCTCCACACATGTGAGCACCAGCTAACACTGCACGCGATGGGCTGTGGGGTGCAGGAGGGTGCGACACATGTCTGCACACAGGTCTCCTCAACACAACTGGGGCAATGGTGTCCAGGACACAGGTACAGGATTCCCCTGACTGGGTGCTGCCCCACCAATACTCTTGAGAGTCCAGCACGGGGGAGAAGTTAGCAAAGGGATAGATGCCCAACACCTTCCCGACTTCTGCATTTGTGAGGAAATGGCAAGGGAGAAAACAGTTTCTCAGTTTCTAGAAAAGACGTCATGGTTTTAGTGTATAGTTTCGGGGGTGTGAATACTGACTCCACTAGAAAAGAAAACAACATAACCACCGTCCACCCCAGTGAAACCGCAAGGGACTCTCGGGACCTAGGGCCGTGCCCTCTTCCTCCACTGTATGCTTGGATCTCCAGGTGAACATGCTGATTATGAAGGCACCGCTTTTTCACTACCCCACTCAAAATCATCCTTGTCGGTCTTTTTCTTAAGGTTTCTTAATTTTTATTTTTAAAGACAAAACTAAACCCAAAAGATCAAACTGGAGATAGACAAAGCGACCACCAAATATACTGTTTAACTTCTTAAAACAAACAAACAAACAAACACTAACAACTGACAACAATGCTCACAGTTTACAGTATGTTGACATTTCTTTTGTTGGTGATAAAGTAAACAAAAGTCCCTTCCATGTGCTCCAACAAAGGAAAACCAAGAGGAGAGAAACACAGGCCATTCCTTCCTAATCCTTTACAAACAATAATAAAAGGATAAACAAGTTTTAAAAATCTTTTGCCCCACTCATTTTTGTCACATCCACATGATTGGCTTCATACTGAGTTGCTCATGAATTACAGGGGCCCAGCCTGCCCCCATTTATTTCCACTTGTTTCTTTGTGTGCACTGCATTTGTGTACTGAGTGCACAACTTAGAGATGCTTCCCAGGTGCCTAGCCAGCCACACACAGCGTGTTTTCCAGCCAGTGTACACAGCAGCAAGGAGGATTAGGGCATTAGTCCCTTTTCTGCTGGCTAATGAGGGTGCCACCATATTGAAATGGGTGAGAATGTAAGAGGTGCAGAGCTCTGGAGGGAGGGGGTCGACACCCGCAACACTGGGGTCCACCCTTGGCAGCACAGCCGAAGGGTGGTTCAAGTTGGTGTGACTAGAAGGCGGTGTGAACTGGAGGGTGTGGGTCCACCCAGCACTGCCAGGCTGTGGCATCACAACCTTCCGGACTGCTTTCTTCTTCCATCTGTTTGACTCCAATCTTTCAGAGGGCTGGAGCATGGGTGGGGAGGAGGGAGGATTAAATAAATATCTGCATCTATTTCAGAAGGAAGGAAAAGTTGATCATAATGACAGTTTACAAGTGTACACAACTCAGGGTGTAAGGCACAAATTTACACGTGGAAAACAGGCTATTCACAGATGTAACCCACGAAAAACCCATGTGATCAAACTATTAATGTATGCAAGGTAGCAGCCAGCATATTAATTAGTTCACACCATTTGTGGATTTTATTTGCTGTCTCACATGCAAGGTGAAATGAGATGGCAAATCACAAGCTGGTGCCTTCACAAAAAGTAGGAACCACTGCCCACGCCAAGTTGGCACCGATGGGACAGGATATGCCATTCTAAAGGTTTCCCTCCGGGTTGCTTAGAAGTTAGGATCTGAAAGGGCTTTTAAATTAATTAATTTTTTGTATGTTATAGGCCAGAGACCTGATCTGCAAATTAACTGGTAGATTTAAATAAATATTCCCCTCCTAACTCTTTCTTTTAGCTACAGACCAGACAGTCCAACCAAACAAAGCTCAGAATTCCAGCTTCAACTTATTTACTCAGTGAATTTATTGTAAAAATAAAGAAACTCAATTATTCCAGTTAATGGATTTCACGTTAAATAGTTTAACTTTCAAGGGGCTTCAGAAGAGCTGTTTGTAGGCTGATATGTGGAAGAGTCCTTTCCTTAAGGAAAAAAAAAAAAGTGAACAATAAATAAAGAGTTACTTGCGTTATCGGTCACGTTATTTCATTAAAAGAGAGGAGGAGCAGAAATCTATGATATAGTCGCCCAACATGGCATTTATCTGCTGTAACAGAAAGCTGTAACACTGGTGGGCATTTCACAGTAACTGCGCATAGTAAACTTCTGCCATTGTTAAAGTCTGAGTTAGAATTATCAATGAATTCTTTATTTTTTGTCTTTTTAAATTTTCATGATTTTTAAAAATGTGTTTGTGTTTTGCAGTCTGGAACGCCAGCCCAGTTTGGCAACGCCCCGTGCAGTCACGGACAAGTGTTGTGGTTGCTGTTCACATGTGTGTGTGTATGTGTGTGTATGTGTGTGCACGTGTGATGGGAAATGGGGTGGTTGTGTGCTTTTGGCTCATGTTTGTGATGATAACTGAAGTCTCTCGTGGGTCCGACCTGCTGTGCGGTGTGGGGAAGAGTGAAGGAAGAGAATGGGGGTGAGTCTGTTGCACACCTTCACCAAACCACGTGGCCCGATTTTTGAGAGTACTCCTGTGTCCGGGAGAGGAGGACACGGTGTCCTCAGCTCTGCCGCGGCCATCTGGGTCTGGAGGGCGCCCGAGGCGATGGAGAACCTTGCTGAGCTAAGCGGATGACTCGCCTCGCTTGCTGGTCGACTCCTGAGCCCTCCCCCTGGCATTATGTACACGCGTCATTGGGCTTCATGGATGTGGAAAGGGGAGCAAAGGAGGGTTTGGGGGGTACGTCCGGCTTTAGCGAGGGTGTGCGCTTCAGCCCCGACCTGGTCAGTGAGTTGTAGGCGTTGAGGCTGGGCTGCCTCGACACTGTCACAGCCTGGCCGGAGGGCTGGGCGCTGTGCACCTGGATGGAGTCCACCCTCTGCGGGGCGGGGGGCGGGTTGTCCCCCCGGCCAAAGCTCTGGTTTCTAGAGAGGTGGGAGGAGTTGGAGGAGTTAGTATTGTTTCTTTTCAGAGAGGTGGCCTGGTGGCCCCTCGACAGCGAGTTCGTGGGGTAGCTCCTCTTGTAGTCAAGCCCGTAGGAGTGGTGCGCTGCTTCCAGACGCTTGCTCAGGCCATGCTGAGACAGGGAGGCTCCCGGCGGGCCCAGCGAGGCCTCCCGCTGGGGAACCTTGGGGGGCAGGCTGTCCAGGTTCTCCGCAAGGTTCACCCCGTGATTGGGACTTTGGCTGCTGAGATGCTCCTTGATGGTCTTATACTCCAAGGTGGCAGCCTGGTCTTCCAGTGCCATTTGGGCCACCTCGCTCATTTTGGGCTGGTCCACGTACTCGTGTTGGTAGCCCTGCTGTGTGATGGGCAAGACCACCACACTGGGGATGTGGCTCGGGGAGGCCCGGAGGGGCAGGTCCGTGGGGATCACGGGAGAGCCCATGGGGGGCATGTCTTTTGTGCAGGCATTGATGAGGTTTTGATTCCTTTCCCACTCGCGGCTGCCGCGGCTGGGCTTCCGCTTCTGCTGCAGGGTCGGGGTGGACTCGGGGGTGGGCAAGGCCGTCAGGTCCATGTGGTGCTGGTCAGCCTTAATGAGCATCTTGGCGGTATTGCTGGGGGTGGCGAGCTTGCCGTTGTGCATGAGTGGCGTAAGGATGGCCTCTGGCTTTGGGTCTTTGGACTGAGTGTCCCCGAAGAGGCCACTGAGCTTGGTGACGCTGCTCATGGACCCCCGGCGCGAGTGGGTGAGGTCCTTTTCCTTGCGCTGCACGACCGCCACGTCCTTGCGCCGGTGATCACAGACGCAGTACACGGTGATGCCAGAGAAAACGGCCCCCATAACAAAAGCCAGAATCACTGCGATGGCCAAGAGAGTGACAGGAACGAGCTGGTCTTGTCCTTTGAGGTAACTTTCCCGAATCACTCCTGCAATAGACATTGCATAAGGTGTTCAGCAATGAAAGCACAGTGGGGCTTATTGTTGTTTGGCATTCACCCTGTTAATTAATAACAGTAATAAGTGATGATAGCACCCCTGCATAATTTGTCTTTAGGGTGCAGCTTGCCAAACATTAACTAATTAACCCTCCCTAGCCTGGCCCTGCCTATGTAAATCATCTTCCTCTGTTGCCTTATTTGGGTCTGTTACGCTCTCCAAGTACACATATTTTCTAGTTAGCTGCACTCCATGGAACATGGCAGCTTTTGGTTCACAAAATTTACCCCTTTTTCCTTTTCATTTCTTTTTAGTCTCTCCCTATAGAATTAGAATAACTGAGATATTTTCTATCTGGAGGAAGAGGCAACAATTATATGCATGTTAAATGGAGAAATCACACAACAATCCAAGCTTCCAGCTGGGCTCCTTTCTGATGACTTCTTATAGCACCAGGGTCTCTGTCAGGAGAAAAGTGCTTTCCAAGCAACCAGGGAATAGAGCGTACATGTCATTTACAGTGGAAGAAAAGAATTAAAGCTCACAGATTGCAACATTTATTCTTATTTTGCCTCCAAAAATTCCAGGTGTATATGCTGAATATTTCAATGGAATACTGGAACTGGGAAAATATTTAGAAAAAAAGACCATTTGGGAGCCCCATAGAGGGTTTGAGAGATGTCAGTCCCATTGTTATGCTTAAGAGTTTGCTGCCACTGTGAGGTTCTTCAGCAGAGCTAATCTCTTCAATTTAATAAAAATTATGTGACTACACCCGTCTATAATCTTACACTACATTAACCAAGAAGCTGTGTTTCTGAAGTTGCTTTCCTGTTCCTGCTTAATCAGCCACCAAGCTGAGTGACTCTAATCAAATGCAAACACTGAAGCTTTTATTTTTTAATACCAAGTGAGAATACACATCACAATTGTCAGATCTTAAGTGCTTGATGCAGTAGCTAAAAAAAAAATCTCAAATACCTCAATTCCTGCCTCTGGAGAGTGAAAGAACATGAATACATTAGAAGCACTGCATGGGCTGAGGAAATGTAAATATTGTTTCTATTATGGAAATGATAGCAAGACAGAAAATGTACCCTCTTTGCTCTCAGGAGACACATTTTTCATCTACTAAATCAACTCTTTCTGGAACATGTTTAATATATTTTACTGGCAGGTATCAGTGGGACAGAATTACAATGAAGTAAAATAAAAAAAAATCTCTACTCCTCCCCAATACTACAACATGCAACCCTTAAACTTCTGCTGAAAACAGTTTTTTTTTTCTTTAAGGTCACAGCTGAGACCTTGAAGAAATGCAGCTTTGTCCTGGGGGTTCTTCTTGCTAAGATATTTTGATTACTGGAGTGATGGTTTTAAAACCCAGAAACCTTAGCCTGCAGATTAGATCCTTTTCTCTAAAGGACCCTCTCCTTGATGGGGTGACATTACATCTGGTTGCTGTAAAAATGATTGTCCTGTGACAAAGGATTGTGACTTGAAGTGGCAACACAGAAGCAGCAAAATCTCTTGAAGAAGAACATTCTGTGATTAAACAAATACCCTTGGTGATGAAAGGGAGTCACCCTAAGGAAAATGCTTAAGGTGATGAGACACTGAATAACTCCCAAACATGACACTTTTCCCATATTTCCATATTTATCTTTAGCATCTTTTAAGGAATAGACACCAGGAAGCAAAAATCCACCTATAACTCCCACCTTTTATGTGCGGGGCTCTCTACACAGCAGGGTTCCTTGCATTCAAATATGTTTTAATACCCAGTCAACCAAGAAAATGTGCTAATGAAAGTTTCTTCCTAAAATTTTCATTTCCTTATTGTTATGCTAAAACAGCAATTGATTTTCCTTGTATGGGTTCTATTGAACCTCTTTTTTTTAAACCACCTACACATGATTGCACAAAAATATATACCTGTGAATAAAGTGAATTTCGTTTCCCTTATTGAATTGGTGATTTCAGTAGGCTCTAACACCACTAGGCAACCACAGATGATGGGGAATAAGCACAATTTTTCATGGCAGAGGACACTTCATGGAACACTTTTAGACAATTTTATTGAGGGGTGAGCTGTATCTTCCCAAAATATGTTTAGTTTTCATAGGAAGCTGTCAACAACTGACTTTGGTACTCTACAATTTCATGCTGACTCCTGATTTAAATCTCATGTGACTCTTATAAGACTTGTCTTCCATAATCATCAGGTGATTTTTTTAATGTTGGGTGATCACCCAGTCTACTGTGTAGTATGTCCAGGAACTCCACTTGGGCGAACAGTGGCAAGAATAGCCAAAGGAAATAATGATTGTTGTTCTTGAGATTTGCAAAACTAAAAACTATCTCATGACTAGCTGATTAGAATCAGATGTATGCCATTTGACCCCACACCTCCACCTATAAGAAGGTGTCCACCCACCTGTGATCATCAATCTTCTCTATATAAACCGCCCCTAAATCAGCCTTGTAGGAATATGGCCTTGTAGGATGAAATGGTCCTCCAGCTTCCTGTCACCTAGCTCATAGCAAGAAATTTCTGTTTCTACTGCTGCTTTGGCTCTCAACATTGGCTCTGGCATGCAGCTGAGCACACCAAGCCTTTTGTGAGGTAAAGAGGCAGAGCAATTTATCCATTGCTTCCTTTTGGCTCCCAGATATGCCGTTCTTCTTTCACACCTGAAGTTCCTTAGCTATCTTAGATTCATGAAAACCACTTGCTCTTTTGCTGGGAAAAGACTTTTTTTTTAGTGGATGATATTTGAGTTCAGGTTTTTGGTTGTTAACAAATCAAGTAGAATCTGACCTTTAAGGAAGATAGTGTCTCAGATAGTTTTTTTCATCTCATTTTGTTATGTAAATAATGCCCTTAAAAACCTTTCTGCATCTCTTCATCTTGTAGACTTGCAGGCAGGGGATTTCCTCATTTGCTTGTGCAAATTCAGAAACCCATGCCCAAAGTTAGAAAGAGATCAGAGATTAAATTGAAAGTGCAGTGGAAGAAGGTAAGCGTTATTCTTGCGGAGATGGTTTCTAAACTTAAGGCTTTCTGCTCACATCATGCAAAAGAGAAAAGGACCATTTATGAAAATGATCAAATCAGCTCTGTGACCTGGCCATCGTGAAGGACAGTACAGCAGGCTTATCTGAGAGCCTCAACAGGGATGAAAAAGCCACACCACAGACTATCTCAGAAAGCTGGGAGTCTCAAGTGCCTATTTCAAGCTGGGTGACTTTTTGGCAAGTGACATCTCTAGGCCTCAGTTTTAATCTGTAAAGTGGGGTTAACACAATTTTACTGCCTTACTGGGTGTTAGAAGAATCAGATGAAATAAAGACTAGGAAAGCACTTAAACGCTGAAGTTTGCTGGACAAATCTAATGGTCAAAAGAAGCCACAAGGTAAGTGGTGAGTTAGTGGCTTGTAGAGGGCTGCTGAGTGACAGTCACAGCTGCTCCTATTGATTCTATTAGCTGTTGATCTCCCAGGGGTTAAAGGCAGACATGCTCTTCTCTGTTCCAATCTTATGTTGTCCAAGTGTAAAGCGGTGAGATGTTGAGACAACATCAAAGAGCACTTTTGTTTCAGGGCTTCCTATAGGTCTTCAATTTTGAAGTTACTGTAATTAAAAATTGTTGAGGAAAATGTTGAGCAAAACACAGCAATTATCATTCCCCATGGAGCTATAGTCCTACAGTCAGCTTGAGGGCAGTAGCCACGTATTTGTATTTATAACCTTGGCCATCCTCACCGCTGATAGCAGTGCAGCTAAATAAATGACTGTTGAATGCAAGGATTTTTAATATACTGTAAAGACACTTTAAATGCACTTCTAAACTCTTAAGAGTGACTGTAATCTTGCTTTTGATGTCACAAAGGAATCATATTGCTAATCAAGCAATAGAATTTTAATAATACTATCCATTGCATAAAAAAACTGTAAAAGTGTTCAGTGTTTATTCAAAACAATAAGAAAACATTTTAAAAATGAAGAGAAATTGGCTCTGGGATAATTCCAAAAGAGCCAAGGAGGGTAAATAGTTATTTGTAGCAATGGAGCGCTCCAGAGGGACTGAAAACTTTGAAACAAAGACATCTCTGCAAAGGTCAAAACGCAATGGGCTGGGAGGTTGGTGCCACCTGTGCTTCAGTCATGGCACTGGAGCCCTTGGTAAGTGGAGAGCCTTTGTTGGTGGATATTCTACCCTGCTGAGAATCCCTGCAGCAGGAATAGTTGAAGTAGGCTTCCCTGACCTGGGGTGTTCAAATGCCTTCTTCTGACAACCCCTGGGCCTTCTGCTCCACCAACTGAAAATGGGGCATTAGTAATGAACACAGTATCTGAAAAATCCTTTGGATTGATTCATTAACCCCCAGCTATTTCTCACCAGTCATGAGGTGCTAAATGATTTTTCTTTCCACCTTCCTATTGCAGGAAGCTAGGCGAGGCGCACAACGGCCTAGAGGCCCATTTCTCTGAAATCATGCCTTAAATTGGCAGAACTGAGAAAGGAGAGAATCTCCAGTGCATTTTTTTCCCCTAAGGTGAGAGTTTTCAGATGCTGCCAGGAGGCCTCAGTAAGGTAGTCTGAAGATCTTTAGAGGCTAAAGCAATGAAAAGATTATGAACAACTCTGCCCCCGAAGCCCTGCAACACATAATCCAAAACAAGAACAATTATAAACTTTACGAGGAAGCCTGATACAGTTCTGAATTTTCCTTCGATGAAATTGTTAATGAATTCTGAAAAATCAAACCCCAAATTCTTTATTTAAAAATATAGCTTCAGGTAGCCCTGCTTACAGAACTGTATCTGCTTAACTAGTGCATGGGTCAGAGGCCCAGCACCAAGCTCTGGGTCAGTTTGTTCTAGCAGTGATGCTGTCTCCCAACTCGAGACTGTGATTCTCTTGGTGTCTTTGTTATTATTCTTCTGGTATAACGAGGTTTTGGTTCCGAGCATCTTTGAAGCTGC